AAAATAAGGAAGGAATAGATGGGAATAGACAAATATTCTCATCAAAGATAGCTAGGCTTGAATTTCCAAGGTTCTCGGGTGATGATCCAACAGAATGGTTCAACTGAGTTGACCAATTCTTTGAATACTAAGTTACTACAAAGGTACAGAAAGTATCATTGGCTTCATTCCACCTTGAAGGAGAAGCTAATCAATGGTGGCAATGGCTACGTCGAGCTTACAGAGAAGAATGAAGGATGGTGACATGGGCTATTTTCGAAGAAGAATTATGGGCTCGATTCTGACCAAATGAATGTGAAGACTTCGATGAAGCGCTCTCAAGGGTGAAACAAGTTGGCTCACTACGGGACTACCAAAAAGAATTTGAGAAGTTGGGCAACTGTGTGCAAGGATGGATGCAAAAGGCATTGGTGGGGACTTTCATGGGTGGACTCAAACCAGAGATAGCAGACAACATACGAATGTTCAAGCCTGAATCTTTGAAAGAGGTAATCAGTCTTGCCTGCATGCAAGATGAGCAGTTAACTCGCCAAATAAGGTTCACACGCCCACCATTCAACCGAGCACCGCTAGACCTTCTAGCCCCATCAAAAAAAAATTGGCATCTTTAATGAAACGACTCTCATGGGAAGAAATGCAAAAACGGCGTGCTTAAGGCCTTTGTTTTAATTGTGATGAAAAATTTATCGTAGGACATTAGTGTCGAGGCCCTCAACTATTGTTGCTAGAAGGAGACGATGGTAATGATGATGAAGTTGGTGATGAGGTGGAGCAAGAGCTAACTGAATTGCAATAGGAGCCTAAAATCACCTTACATGCTTCGACAGGATGGACAGCCTCTAAAACCATGAGAGTAGCGGCAAAGGTGGGACAACATGATATCGTGGTACTCATTAATAGTGGCTCTGTACATAATTTCATTAGCGAGAAGATAGCAAATTTGTTGCAACTTCCAGTAGTACCCACCGAACCCTTCGATGTGAGGGTAGCCAACGGCAGCCTATTGAAATGCAAAGGGAGATTTGATCATGTGCAAATTCTACTTCAGGATATTCCCTTCTCACTCACTTTTTACTCATTACTGCTAACCAGTTTGGACTTGGTTTTAGGCGTGCAATGGTTGGAACAGCTATGGACAGTGGTGTGTAATTGGAAGAAGATAACCATGGAGTTTCAATAGCAGAATCAATTCCAAAAGTTACAAGGGGTAAATGCGCAGCTTATTCAAGTCGCATCATTGAGAGCCGTTTCAAAAGAAGTAAGGCAAGGGAGTTCTATGTTTGCTGTTTGCCTATAGCCATCGGAGGAAGTTGCATCACAAGGTTGCCACCCAGATATGCAACAATTATTGGAAGCTTTTGAGGATCTTTTCCAAGAACCACAAACAATTGCTACCAATAAGAGAAGTGGACCACCGAATTCCTCTCAAGGAAGGAACCGAGCCAATCAATGTGAGATCCTACAGGTATGCCTATTACCAAAAAGCTGAAATTAAAAAACAAGTTCATGACATGTTAAAATTGGGTTTATAAGATCAAGCACTAGTCCATTTTCATCTCCTATTTTATTGGTTAAAAAAAAAAAATGGAACATGACACTTTTGCACAGACTATAGAGCCCTTAATGTCGTGACCATCAAAGACCAATTTCTCATCCCTACAGTTGATGATATGTTAGATAAGCTTTATGGTGCAACTTATTTTACAAAACTAGACCTAAAGGCGGGTTACCACCAAGTTCGGGTAAATCCTATAGACATTCCTAAGACGACATTTCGTACTCATAATGGTCACTACAAATATTTAGTCATGCCTTTTGGTCTTTGTAATGCACCTTTTACATTTCAAGCCATTATGAATTCTATTTTTCGTCCTTACCTCCGCAAATCTGTCTTACTATTTTTTTATGACATTTTGATTTATAGCCCCAGTTGGATCAGGCATCTTGAACATGTTAAAAAGGCTTTTGAAATATTGAGGCATCATCAGTTTTTTATTAAGATAAGTAAATGTGCTTTTGGGCAACAAGAATTGGAGTACTTGGGACATATAATTACTCCTCATGGCGTAAAAGTGGATCAAAGGAAAATTGAAGCAATGATTAATTGGCCTCGGCCTACTAATATTTCAGAATTGCGTGATTTTTTTAGGCCTTACAGGTAACTACAGAAAATTTGTACGCAATTACGGCATCGTGGCTCGACCACTCACCAATTTGTTAAAGAAAGGCCAATTTGGATGGCCAGAAGAGGCAGAACAAGCATTCACAAATCTTAAGCAAGCTATGACATCTACACCTACTCAGGCAATGCCAAATTTTAATGAGCCATTTGCGATTGAATCGGGTGCTTCGGATGTAGGAATAGGAGCGGTACTCACTCAACAAGGCAAGCCGATTGCATTTATGAGCCAAGCTTTGGGAATGTCTAAGAAATCATGGTCCACATATGCTAAGGAAATGCTAGCAATTGTCCAAGCTATTCAGACATGACGACCTTACTTCTTGGGACGGAAGTTTTATATCATACTGGTCAACACAGCCTCAAGTACTTGTTAGAGCTGCGTATTGCAACACCGGAACAACAAAAGTGGTTGGCTAAGTTGCTTGGTTATGACTACGAAATTCGTTACAAACCAGGCCGTGAGAATTCAGCAGCTATGCACTATCGAGATTAGTTGACAGCCCCAGTCTTGATGCTTTATTTATGTCACAGGTTGAGATATGGGAGGAAATAAAAAAAGCAGCAGTTGGACACGCTTACATGGAAAGAATTGGGAAGTTGGCAATGGACAATCCAGGAGCTCCATATTCTTGGCGCAATGAACTGGTTCTCTACAAAAATGGGGTAGTTGTGCCACCAAATTCTCGAATAATTCCTCAACTATTATGGGAATTTCATGATTCTTACTTTGGTGGACATTCTGGAGTCTTACGCACCTACAAAAGATTGGCATAGCAGTTTTATTGGCCTTCCATGCATCGGGATGTGCAGCAATATGTTTCTTCTTGTGATATTTGCCAAAGAGCAAAGGCCGACGCTCTCTCTCCAGCAGGACTTTTGCAACCTTTAACAATTCCATGTCAAGTGTGGGATGATATAACCATGGACTTCATTGAAGGTCTCCAACTTCTAACAGCAAAAACAACATTCTTGTGGTGGTGGATCGCCTCAGCAAATCAGCCTATTTTTTGCCATTAACTCATCCTTTCATCGTAAAAACAGTAGCTGAAAAATTTGTCCAGGGGGGTGGTAAAGTTACATGGAATGCCAAGAACAATTATTAGTGATCGAGATCCTGTATTCATTAGCAATTTTTGGTGTGAGTTTTTCAAACTCTCGGGAACTCAATTGAAAATGAGCTCCGCCTACCATTCGCAAACTGACGGACAGTCGGACGTAGTAAACAGATGTCTTGAGCAGTATCTTCGATGCTTTGTTCACCAACAGCCCCGCAAATGGAGTTCTCTTCTTCCATGGGCTGAGTTCTAGTACAATACCACTTACCATGCTTCTACGGGAATGACGCCTTTTCAAGCTCTCTATGGTCGCCCTCCACCAAACATTCCTCATTATCAAGTGGGCTCCTAACCAGTGAATGAAGTAGATCGAAATCTGACTTCAAGAGATGAGTTGCTACGACAAATCAAGGTCAATCTACATGCTGCCAACGATCGAATGAAACAAATAGCAGATGCTAAGAGAAGGGACATCGATTTTCGAGAAGGTGACTGGGTCTACTTGAAGCTTCATCCATATCGACAGAAATCAGTTTTCAAAAGGGCATTTCAGAAGCTAGCAAGTCGATTTTATGGCCCTTTCCAAGTTGAGAAAAAATTTGGAAAGGTAGCCTATAAGCTCAAAATGCCTGAGGAGTCCCGTGTGCATCCAGTCTTTCACGTGTCACTGCTAAAGAAAAAAAATTGGTGAAACAATTGGTGCTACTATTGACTTGCCACCTTTTACTGATGATGAAGGACTTGTACTTGAACCTGAGGCCACTTTTGGATACTCGATGGATAAAAAAAGGAGCTCGGTTTGTCGCAGAAAGCTTGGTCAAATGGAAACATCTTCCTACAGATGATGCAACTTGGGAAAATACTGAGCAATTGCGAGATAGATTCATGCATTTGGACCTTGAGGAGAAGGTCCCAGTGAAAGAGGGGGGTATTGTTAAGCCGAGACGCTCTCAACGCATTCCTATTAGAAACCCGAAATACGTGTAAGTGGGTGACACAGGAGAACGTGTAAATGGGTGGTTCAGGAGAACGTGTAGATTAATGTGGTGCAGGAGAACGTGATGTGCTGTCAAGAATTAGTCCAAGCAACTTGAGCAGTAGTCGTGAGAATAGGCCGTGTAGTAGAAGTGGCTACTTTACTGTGGTTTTGTCATTTTCTTACTAATTAGTGGTTGAGGCCTACTTTTTAGCAAGTGGGGTTGTTAAGTTTAGGAGTAGCAATTGAACTCTCTCTGTGTATTTAAGTTCTTTGAAATTCAATGAAAGGAAGCACATTTTATCCAAACTCTACGGTTAATTCTCATCCTAAGAGAATCCTATTTACTTAAAGCAATTGTAATTTGGCTTTGACCGGGACCTATCATAAACTTTCCATGCATCTTCCAACACCTCGACTATATTTTCATCTTTTGAATGCTTAAATGGTTTCACCATACCTACTCCTATTTTATGGCTTAAGGGTACAGACTACAGATGATGGAAGTTTCTAAATGTATTGAGTCTACAATTTACAAGAGATGAACTCTATGATTTGAGATACAAGATTAGCACCCTAAAGGGAAATGCTGTAACATATGGTAAATCAAAATGTAGAGCAGGAACTAGTTGCAACATGCTGTAACACATGGTAAATCAAAATGTAGAGCATGATTCTCTCCTGATCTAAGTTTCGGTCTGACCAAATACATAGATATCATTGATAGTTAGAAAAATATCTCCAAAAGATCCTTCAAAGCTCAGGAAAGCTCAAGAGAGATTTTCAATTCTTCAAGAAGATTTACTAATTCAACTCAGATTAAAAATTTGGTCTTTGATTTCAAGGGCTTTTCTACAAATAGAGTAAATATGTTAACCCAAAACTCATTTTCATAAACAACAATATGATTCTAAATAAACTAAAATTAATGAAAATCTTCATTTGAAATATGTTAAAAAACGAACATTTGATGTTGTGATTTCTCACTAGGGGAGGATTGATTCCACCAGAGGTTGAACAGAACCTTGTTGAGGATTCGCGGGACGCTTTGGTGGCAGAGGTGTCTGTTTCCCATTCTCAATCTTTGGCTTTGATACCCCAGCTTTCTCCCTAAGCTTCTCGAGCTTCTCCATGATTTTTCTCTTCCTCTCAAGTTTCTGAACACGAGCTTCAGCAGGGTCTGCTGAGAGAAGAGCAACCCCACTCAGAATTTTAGCTGTCATACAAAGCATTGTATCTCTTCGCGAAATACAATTGGTTTCCGGCTTCTGCAACTTCTGCTCTAAATTGTTTCTCACCTGCTGGAGGCAAAAACAAATTACAGTCCACTAAAAGGAAAAATGGATCCAAATGTATGCAGCCATTTCTTCATTCACTTTCAAGTTTGCCATTGAACGTCAAAATGAATGAAAATACACAGCAGTTTGGCTCTTGTGCCTTGGCTACACTATCAAATAAGTTCTTACTTTGATTTCTGCTCAAGAATAACACGGAAATCATTGAACCTTTGGTATTGTTAAACGGCATTACCTCCACTGCAATGCCTATAAACGCCGAGTGTAGCAATACTCGGATTATTAACAATGAATAAACTACAATCCAATCCGAAATTCCGCAACACGAAGATTTAATCTTTAGGTATCTCAATCCTATCCACAACTACCTATGAACCATTCTGGTTAAACTCTAACCAATTTATGAACCATTTGTTTACAAGTCTCGTGTTTCCATTTGCCTTTAGAATTTTATTCCGAGACTAATAAGAATACTGTTATACCGTTAATTAAATTGTCAAATCAATTGTTACATAAACAACAAAGTTAGGATCAAAACCTCCATTCTATATGTGAGTTTTATACTTAAATTCAATCAATTTTCTTGCATAGGTATTGGAAAACTGCAGCAAAAAAATAGGACATCCGAACTAGATTAGTAAAATTCTTACAGATATACAACCATAAAATGCCCACCTTGAAAACTCTTTTAAATTGATCAAAATAGCCAATTGGAAATAAAAATTTTCTCACACGCTTTGTTTAATAAAAGTTAGCACCCATTGATATATAAATCGATATGAAACAGTAAATAAGTTTAACATTTCATCGATTGAGCTTTACTTTCCGGGAAAATGAAACAAACAGAAACTGATTTGCAAAGTGGGAAAAAGTTTTGAGCTTGAAGTTTGAACCTGAAGAGGAAGGAGAACTCTTGTCTTGGTTGTTGATACAATCACCGGTGGGTCAATTAAGTCCTTTCCACAGGAGGCCAGAGGAAGTGGGGCCCCAATCATCTTCGAACGACAGTACGCCATCTGTCTCCCGCAATAAATTTCTGGCCGAAAAACCGTCGATCACTGCTTAAACTACGGTCTTAGGGGAGCTGCAGAGAGTGGAAGAATTTAGAAAGGTCATTTTCATGTGAAACTGTTAAAGAAGAGGCTGTATTGGGCTGGGCTGGGCTTGACGGCCCACTTGGCATTTTCTTGCCCAACTGGTTTTGATTGAAATTTGGTTGTTTAAACATACACATCCGTTTCGACTTACTCATTTAGCATTTTTGGCCCAACTGTTCACATGATTGAGCGCCCAAATTCCACCTCATTTTGCAATAATTGGAGTCCATCCCCTGATTAGATTAAAATTAACTGTGACGCACCTATTAAGAAGTACTGTCACAAAGGAGCGATGAAAATTGTTGTAAAGGACAACAAGGGTATGTTGTTAAGAGGGCATGCATCAAATTTCTTTGCTATGACCCCACTTTGTATTAGAGGCGTTAGCTTTTAAGGAAGCTATTGCTTTGACTTCCAATCTGGGTTTGAACAAGGTCTTATTAGAAACAAACTGTTTAAATCTTATTAAGGCCTACAGAAAGGAAGAAGTTTTTTGGGAGATTGATGGAATTGTGAGAGATATTCACAACTTTGCCCACAGTTATTCCTCAATTGGGTTTCAGTGGAGCAGAAGGAAAGCCAATATGTTAATGCATGAGGTTGCAAGGTTAATAGCATTGAATTCTCTGCCTTTGAATCGTCTTGCCCTTCAAGTATTTTGAGAATTTGTCTTCTGGATAAGTCATATTAATTTTCGTTTGGATTAGGCTGATTGATGTCTATTTTATGGCTTTCACACGTATGTTGTTTCCTCATTTGTATGTTTTGTTTGTTGTAGAATGGATGTTTAATTCTAACCAATATAAAAAAAACATACACATCAATAAACAAGGTTTGTATTATTATTATTATTATTATTTTTTAAATGCAGACATTTACAGAGAAATGAACCAATTTTTTATATTTAAATTATTAACCTAAATTTAAACAAACAAAAAAAAAAAAAATCCATCAGATTTTATCAAATTTAGTAAGTATCGTTTCTTGTAAGGTGTGGATTAAATTTAGTGACAAATAGGTGTAACAACTCGAAAGTCTATTGGAATTTCTATTTTCTTTTACGAAATCTACACGAGAGAATTTTATTATAAAGAAAAATCATGATAGTTAATTGGGTTACATTATAATTATCCATACTCCTCAAAATGAAATCTCTAATTACAAAGTTAACAATATAACTAAAAATCCTAGTTAGTAAAAATGCGTATTATACGCGAATTATACGGATATTGTTGATAATTCCGTATAAAACGCGCGTATCCAGATTTTATAAATCTACCGTATAAACGCGAATTATAAGTTTTACCGTATACTTCGCGTATAATTCCGAATTATTCGCGATTTTTTGAAAAAAAAAAACATAATCTCACACCCCCAAAACGACGTCGTTTTGGTGGGTTTATACAAAAAATTAAAACAGATCTGGTTCACTGGTTCAGTCGTTCTTCTTCATTCTTCGGCAGTTTATCAGAGATCTTCTTCTCAGTTCTTCTTCAGCTCTTCTTCCTCTGTTCTTCACGTTTTCAGATTTCTTCATCTCTTGTTCTCTTCTTCCAGGCTTCAACTTCAAGTTTGGGACTCAAGAATCACACTTTACATTTGTTCTCTTCTCTTTGAATGTTTTGGTTGATAGCTTGTTTTTGTGTTGGTGTGACTTGTGGTATTAGTAGACTATTAGTAGGAGGGTGGTGGGGTCTGTAATCGTTGGCTAAATTTAATTCTGTGGCCGAAACGAACAAGCAGGGGCAGCCTATCAGTTTATTGGTCCCAGCACATTTTACACTTATGTTATAGGCAAATAATTAGCATGGTTTCAGGCTTGTCATTATTGGTCCCAGCAAATTAAATTGTGAACAATTTATCAGGTTATACCTAATCATGAATGAGTCTCTGGTTTCACTGTGTTTACAATTTCGTCCCTTCTCACAACAGTCCAAAGCAAATGGATCACACATCAATATCTTCAGGTGATGGATTTGTTTGAAACATATTGATGAAATGCTTGAGAGACCGAGAGTTATATTTGTATTTGTATTTGCTTTTTGGCTTCTGCCGGATCTTAGTTGGAAGGGAATGAACTTGATTTGGATTTATTGTTGCTGTCGAATTCGCTGGAAAATGCCCGAAAATTCAGCAGCTTTTGCTGACTGAGTGACTGCATTTTTAACTTTTAACAACTGAGAATTGAGCAAAGCAACTTCTTTTGTTTTAGTCTTTGATTTAACGGTTGTTTGGACAATTTGTTAGAATATCTTAGTTGCAAAGTTTTTATTAGTTTATAATGAAAACGTTTTTTGAATTCTTGTCTTGTACAATTCTACTGTCATTTTAATGTAAGATTATGGGATATTATCTTATACTGACTTTTGTATTGTTCTCACAAAAAAAAAAAAGGAATATTTTATGATTAAAAAAGACTTTTGATTTAGATGTCAAGAGAGAAATTCCTTTATATTAACCTACAGAGAACATTCTTTTGATGTCAAAACTAAGATTGATATTACCGTATTTTTCAAAACGTTTATTGACAATGTACCATATTAAACACGTATATATCCGTACCGTATTTTTCCCGTATCCGAATTTTATGGCCGAATTTTTATAAACGTATTTTTTACCGTTTACCGTATTATATCCGTATAATTCCCGTACCGTTTTTTTGCCGTACCCGTATTTACTAACTAGGCTAAAAATTGTGCAAGGGTCGAGTATAAAGAGTCTTAAATCATGTATTATACTATATTATTGGAAACATTTTTCTAGAGATCAGTTTTCCTTAGAACATTTCCAAATAACTCTTTATATGATCCAAACTCTTTATTATAAAGAGTCTATCTATAAAAACAAGAGTCCAACATACTCCTTCTATAAAAACAAGAGTCCAACATACTCCTTATCTTTTAAATATAAATTAAAGAGTGAGTTTGACTCTCCACATCTAGAGATCAAATTTCACTTTCTATCCTAATTTTAATTAATGAAGTACAATTTTTTATACATTTTATTTATTAATTCTCTCTTCTATTAAGTCTCTTTCTTGAAAATAAAGAGTATCTTCATTAAACTTAAAGAGTCTATTAGATTTGAATAAAAATTTTATTCTTTATATTTAAAAATTAATAAAGATGTTCTTTAAAATAAAGAGCATCATTGAAGATGCTTTTAGAGCATCTTCAAATGACTCTTTATATAATCCAAACTCTTTATTATAAAGAGTTTATTCATAGAAACAGGAGTCTAACAGACTATTTATTCTTTAAATATAAATTAAAGAGTGAGTTTGACTTTCTACATTTAGAGAGTCAAGTTTTACTCTCTATCCTAATTTTAAATAATAAATTGTAAGTTTCTATATATTTTATTTATGATTTATCTCTTCTATTAAGTTTCTTTCTTGAAAAAACATATTATCTCCTCTAAAATTTAAAGAGTCTATTGGATTTAAATAAAAAATTTGTTCTTTATATTTAGAAATCAATGAAGATACTCTTTATTTATATGAAAAATACTCTTTAAAATAAAGAGTACCATTAGAGATACTTTTATAAGGTAATTAATTAGCTTTGCATCTTTAAACAAAGATTAAAGCTAATTAGTTAAGAATTTTAGTTACTTGAGACCCCACCTTGTTGAATCGGAAATGTAACTTGATTGATTTACAAAATAAAAGGTTGATATTGGAGTACCCCGAAATCGAAAAGCGTAAAATATATATATATATATTCTTAGTAAAAAAAAAAAAAAAAGAGAAACTAAAGCAAATTTGTGTGGATATAGACTCCCAGTGAACAATATTTACTAGGCTGAACCCAATATACAGCAATTGGTATCAAAACAGGTTTGCTATTCAATGAGATTTGGGGTGTTTAAAAGTGGTTAACCGGTTTTTTGGTGTGGAAAAATTTCTGAACCGAACCGGTTTTGGGGAAAACCGATTTTTCGTTTAACCGGTTTTCCCCTTTTTTTTTTTTGGATAAAACTTGTTTTTTTTTTTTTTTTCCTAAATTAAATTGTAAACATAAACAATATATATCCAGATAAAAATTAAACATTCATACATATCTATTGACCACTACTAACAATACATTAAAAATTGATACAAATAAAAGTCTGAAATGAAATAAAAATAAATGTCTATAATAAAACAACTAAATAACTAAATAAGTCCTAATGGAAAACAACAAAAGAAATTGTGCAAATACAACTCCACAAGTAGAAAACGAAAACCAACATTAAGTCAATACCAGTAGATCTTCCAATTTCTGCCCAAATAAAAATTAAATGTTAGAAGTTTATAAAAATTAAATCATATTTTTTTTTTTATTGCCTACAATAACAAAACTGTTAAATAAATCAAACCTCAATTAAATGCTACAAAACCTTCAATCATCAAGCTGAATACAAGTAGTATTTTCCATTGTTGAAGACACAAATTCTACAAAAAATAGGTCATATAAATAATGGTTAAATTCAAAATACAGTCAATAAATCCAATAAAAACAACATAATAACTAATAATTGAAACTAAAGCAAAAACTTTGACTGACTCAAGCTCTGCTATCTCTTCCAAGCTTTCCTCAATCATGAATGATTCACGTGTAGCCCGAATCTAATCTTGTGTACAAATAAGAGCCTCCACTGTCTTAGAAGTGAGGGAGCTACGATATGAATCTAATACACGAACCCCAATGCTAAACACTGACTCAGATGCAACTAGGGGTGTTATCGAGCCGAGCCGAGTTTTCGGCTTAACGAGCTCGGCTCGTGAGAGAAAATGAGTAAACGAGCCGAGTTCGAGTAGAGCCGAGCCATAAATTATATGACTCGGCTCGGCTCGATAGTAAATTTAGTATATTTCGAGCCGGCTCGCGAGCCGGTTTACCGAGCCGAATTCGAGCTGGCTCGCGAGCCATCTCCAAATAATTTTTTTTTTTTCAATTTTTTTTACAAAATTTCACAGGGCGCCTGCCCTTTTTCTTATTTCCCTTTAATTTTTTTTTCTTTCTTCTAAATAGTAAATTTTGTCTAAATTGCAATTTTTTTTTTCTTTCTTTTTTTTTTTTTTTTTGGCGTCTGCCCTTTTTCTTATTTTCCTTTAAACTGTGATTTTTTCACTAAATTTTCCTTTCCTTCTAAGTTGTGATATGAAGCTGTAATTGTTTAATTCTCAAAATTTTTACTGTTTCAAATAAAAGAAGAGTAAAGAAAGAGAAAGAGGACGAGATAGTTTCAAAAAAAAATGGTAAGAAACAAAATACACAGATGTAGAGAAAGAGAAAGAAAATGAGGGCCCCAACAAAAGAAAGAGTAAAGAAAGAGGATGAGACAGTTTAAAAAAAAAAAAAAAAACGTTAGTAAGAAACAAAATACATGGCACAAGGACTGAAGGAGCCGCACCGCCGCTTGCCATCTGTTCACTTTTATTGGGGTTTAAAATATGCAGTTTTATTTTTTAAAAAAAAATTAAAACCCAAGAGCAGAGAACCCAACCCCCAGTATCTCAAAACCCCCTCTGAGAGACCACATGAAACACTCTCACAGCCATACCAGCTGAACGAAAACCGGGATCCATCAGCAGACCAGCCAATAGAGAAGTCACACACCAGACCGCTAACACCAGCCACCTGCAAAGCACCCATCTGCTGCAAACACTCCAAGAACAAAAAGTCCAGTAGCCTCCAAGCCTTGCCTCCTTCTTCCTTGAAGAGAACCACACCACCACATGACACAACCAACAAAAAAAACATAATCCCAGAGCACTCACCAACAAAGCCGCATGTCCCACCTTCCAACCACCAACAAAAAAGAAAAAACCAAAAACAAATCACACAGCCCACCCAAAAACAATGCCATCACCAGCACCAACCATTAACAAGGTTCCCTAGTGAGAAGAGAAAAGAGTAACCTCACAGAGAAGCAAAATGGCAACACACCAAACCCCAACGGCATCTTGACTTGTTTACCATATTTGAACAACACTTTGCTTGATTTGTTTGGTTTTGACTGCTTTCCCCTTCCTCCCATCTTCTTATTCTTGTTTTCAGTCTGATTTGGTTTGGATTCGTTGGCGAATGGGTTTCAGTCGCGTTTTAGGGATTTTAATATCGGGGTTTTTTTTGTTATGTTTGCAAACTTTTAGTTTTGAAAATTTTAGTTTAATCCCCATACTTTACAAAAACACCTAAAACCCCCCTAATAATTCGAGCCTGGCTCGGCTCGCGAGCCTATCGAGCAGAGCCGAGGCAGGCTCCAACTCGGCTCGTTCTCTCTAACGAATTGAGCCGAGTCGGCTCGATACCAGACGAGGCGAGCCGTTAACGAGCCGTACTCGAGCCGAGCCGAGCCGTACTCGAGCCGAGCCGAGCCGGCTCGCGAGCGGCTCGCCTCGTTGAACAGCCCTAGATGCAACAGTAGAAACTGACATAGCCAACACCTCTCGTGCTATCGAAGAGAGAATTGAATATCTATTTGAATTGAATTTCCACCAACTCAAGATATCAAACATCTTGTCCTTATGACGTTGCTCACATTCATCCTCTAAATATTTATCCATCTCAGATTTGGTCACCATAACTTCCTGTCCAGCCATTGCCTTATCGTACATACAATACATTAATTCTTCAGGTTCAACATTTACATCTTCAACATTAACCTGACTTGCTTGTTGAGATTGTTAACTAGATTGCCCACTTGGAGAAGCATAAATGAGCTTATATTGGTCAAATAAAGAGTACAAAGTTGTATGCACTTTTGTCTTCAAAAGTTTAGCATTAAAATCATCATATGAATTACTAATAACACAATTCACATATCCTAACTTGAATCTAGGATCCAAAACCACTACAATGAATAACATTAAGTTGATGTTATCAATATTTGACCAATATTTATCATGTTTTTCCTTCATTCTCCTAGCCATAGGACTTAAGCCAACATCATTAATTCTACACCATGTTAAAATCTGCATTCCAATGGCAAAGATCTCGCGCATTTGCATTGCCGATAACAAAAAGTGAGCCCAACACACGTAGAGTAGCATCATAAAAAACTTTCAAAAAAGATAACAAGTAACGGGCATACTCCCAATCACTAGGCATAGGCAAACCCCATGACTTTTCCCCTCTAGTAAGTTTATCTCTATACTTAATGTCTTGGATTTCCAATAACTCAAATGCTTTCTGAAATTTTATAGCCACATCCAACATTAAGTACGTAAAGTTCCACCTTGTTTCTACATCAAGAACCAAAAGATTTTTTTGTTCAATCTTTTCTTGCTCTACACACTCCTTAAACCTTTGTAATCTCGTTGGAGAAGACCTCAAATATCCCATTGCAGAGCGAATTCTAAAAATGGAGTCCTCTATGTCTTTTAACCCCTCTTTTACAATGAGACTTAATATATGTACACAAAACCTCATCTGCAGAAAGTCACTATTCAAAACACTACCCTTCCAACTTTTTAACCTATTCTGGAGATATTTCATTCCAACATCATTAGAACTTGCATTGTCAACGGTAATGATAAAAACCTTAGAAATACCCCAATCAAGCAAACACCTCTCAATTGCCTTGCCAATCAATAAACCTTTGTGACTAGCAATTGGACAAAAGTTTAAGAACCCAATCATCATCAATGAAGTGAGCCGTCAAACATATATAGTTAAGGTTTTGGCAAGATGTCTATGTATCCGTGGTAAGACTTACTCTCTGACTAAGCTTACTAAAAAACGCCTTCAACTTATTTCTCTCCTCAACATAAATATTAAAACAATCTCCAGTCATAGTAATATGAGAGGGAATTTGAAATAGAGGTTGGGCATCCCTTATCTTATCGTGGAACCCCTCACGCTTTACATGCCTAAAGGGCAACTCATCAACAATGATCATTCTAGCTAGAGACCTTCTAAGCTTATCTGGATTGAATTTCTAAGTTGTAAGTGAAGATTTTGTGGAGGTGGCAGCAGTACCGCTTGATTGGTCATGTGATTATATCTGTTGAAAACTAAGATCCTTTGTTTCTTATCCCTCACATTCAAATGATACTTTTTACATCGACTTAAGTGATTCCGTAGACAACTAGTACCATTTTTACTTGGACATGTAAGCACATTCCCACAATAATCACACGTTGTTGTCTTATCATCCATATTCTCACAAGGATTTAAAGTAAAGTGATCCCACATGTCAGAAGTATTCTTTCGAGTATTAAAACTTACACGTTTGGGGACTCGTGGTAGTCGTGGTTACGGATCGGGATCCGTAGAAGGCTGTGGGTCTATCAATGAGTTTGGAGTTGGATTCTTACTAGTTGGTGTCTCAAGACTTTCATCAGTATTAGAATGGTCAACGGTCATGGGATTGGATTTGGACATCTGCAACATCAACATGAAGAAATATGTGAGAATGATTAAAACTAAAGACTAAGATAATAAATATATAAACAGACAAACAAACAATCCAATCAAAGTATCTTACAGCCTCTTATCTCTATCTTAAAAAAAATGTAACTTATTTATTCAATTATGTAGATCAAAGACACATGCCATGCAGCTAAAAAAATGAATTTGAGTTTTCCCCCAAAACCAAAACCCAAGTTCTTGAATAAATCATCATAATCTTCGGGCAGAAAATTGAAGAATAATAAAAAGTAAGCATCCGAAACTAAATAAAACACCCGCATTGTTCAAGAAGCAAACATCTGAAACTAAATAAAACGCAATCTAACCCCACATCAAATTCAGCTAGCAGAAAGAAACAACACAAGTGAACTTAACTAGATTAGCGATTCAAAGAACAAGCCTACACCAGATCTAAGACTGCAAGAAAGAAAGCATAAAAGAGGCAACGTCAAGATGTAAGAAAAAGTCCACAGTATGTGGATATCGAATCTACAAAACAACCCTACAAATTTAACTCAGTTGAAGCAAACATTATAAAGTTTCTTAATTTTTTTCTTGGAAATAATTATGAAAAACAGTAAAATGAACTAGAGTTAATACCATAAAGATGAGATCTTTATCACACATTCATATCATTAACCACTGAAAGAGTGAAAGTTGAGATAGAGCTGCTCTTGATACCTGATCGTTTGTGTGTGTCTCTGTGAGTGACTAAGTGTGACGAATCTAGAGAGAACTCAAAGAAGATGTCCCGCTGCTGGAAAACTACGGAGAAGAGAATGGAGCTTGTCCTGCTGCTGGAAGAAGACGATGAAGCTGTCGCCTACCGAAAGAAAATGACGAAGCTGCTGGAGCCGGAAGAAGACGACAAAGCTGTCGAAGCCAGGAAGAAGACGACGAAGCTGCCGTGACGGGTGACGTTGGAGAGTTTTGAGAACTGAGACTGAGAAGGGATATCGGGAATTTGGGTTGGGATTTTAGGTTGAGTGAATTTAGGGATTTATTTTAGATTATTATTTTTTTATTATATATATATATATAACTGGTTCAAAAAACTGGTTTCAATTAACTGTTTTTAATTTTTTTTCCCGAATTGGTAACCAAACCAAAAATCCGATTTTTTGAATTTTTTAAACCGTAACCGAACAATTTTTTCGGTTCGGTTTTTGTATTTTTTTTAACACCCCTAGATGAGATGGTGAGGCAATCTCATGAGAACACAAGATGTATAAAGTGGAAAGTCAGTCACATCCTGTTTCACTTCTAAATGAACCTAAAATTCAAATTGTAAGGCTTAGTTCCATAACTAACTTGATGGTCGCAGACAATACATACTTGATTTGGACCAAAATGTAATTTATATTGATTATCCTTATTATTAGATGAACTCCTTAAACATTAAAACACAAAAAGTTAAAGGATGGTTTGGATTTAAATATGAAAGCTATGACAACGTTTGTTTCCCTATTCTCTTTCTATCATATTCCTATTCTACTCAAAATACATATTCGTTTCCTTTCCATTTCTCATCCCACCCATTTTTCGCTCAAATCCTCTATAAAAAGTCTTTGAATATTACTAACGAGATAGATTTTATTATCTCCAACCTTCAATAATGTGCACCAAATAGAAATAAATATCTTTGAAAGCTGTGTATATATATCTGTACTGAATTGCAGGAGCCTATCTGCCATTCCCTTCAAATTAAAAAGTAGATTCATGGAACGAAAGGTCTGAAATCAATGTCGTTTCTTTCTTCTTTGACGCAGCAAATCTTATGGCCTTTATTTCACAAGTCAAACAAATCTTTTTCTAATTATGAGGGTGTGAAGTCAGTTTCAGTGAGACCTTTCCATAATATTCTCTTTAGTTACAAAACACACACACACACACACACACACAAAGTTAGCTAAATCTCATTAATTTCTTATTATATATATTTTTAAATTAGTTTTTCTTTCTATATTTTAGAAAAATTTAATGCATATTTTCCTGTACTCAGAAATTGCAGTGAGACACGTATGGAAAACCCTAATTCTTGAACAAATAAATTACTATTTATTTCTTAAAGAAAACCCTAATTGACTAATTGTTGAACAAATCAGAGTCTTATTGAATGAAAAATACAGAAAATTCAATTCACTCGTACATCAATTGTCAATCTTGGCTTTCTATTTGTGATTCAATGGTAGTCTGACTGTCACCTAAGAGCCCAAGAGCCACCTGAAAAAGATCAAATAAATGTAAAAAAATCAAAATAAGAATTATAAGTTGGTGACAAAGAAAGAAGAGTAGCTAGCAAAGAATTTATGAAAAAGAATTATAAGTGATTTTGATTTTTAACTCTCGAAATTTGGACCATTTTTGTGAGTATTTGGTGTAATATTTGACACCTTATGAACTTTGACTATCGGTTGCTAATTGTTTTTAACTTACGAATAAAGACGTTAGAGAGAGAGAGGGAGAGAGAGAGAGAATGAAAATTGAAGCTTTAAGTAATGTCAATGTGGACAATTAGATAGCTGCGACGTATTAAGATTTGGTAGTTTTCACAGTAAAGGTAGAAGGAGAGAGACGATAAATTATTTTCTCAGATTCTCTTACGTTTATTTATATATAGGGCATAAACTATATATACATACAGCCTTATTCCTAAACCAATAAGAATATATTTATGGATATAAATATTTGTTGAGCTAGGATGAGAAATAACTCTTTTGAATATATATATATATATATATATATATATATGAACAATGCTAGTTTTATAAAGATACATACAAATGGGGTATACAAAGTCAATCCACACTCTTGATTTTCATGATTTCTCTGTCTTTCTCTTTCTCTTTTTCCGTTTTTTCTTTGTTTTTTTCTTCTTGATGATGTCACTTTGTAGTCCTCTTTGTATGGGTCTTTGTAAGGATAGCATTTTTCTATATATATATATATTTATATATAGGGTCTCACAGGTTGAATAGTATTGACGGCGTCAGAATGCGATGATTTTAGACAGAGCACACCGAAATGAATAAACGAACAAAATTCATGCCATGAGGGTCGTTATTTTTTAGCCTTCTGGGGTCGTTTTGAGGGGTTTTGGACATTTTTATAATTTTTAGGGTTGTTTATATGAGTTTCTGGATGTTTTGGTATTGTTTTCGATAGCTGTTTAATTTTCATTTTCTTTGTTTTCTCATATTAAGATTTTAAGGGAGAACTATTAAAAGATTGTTTCATACCTAAGAACAACAGTTTTTTATTATTATATGATAATAAAGTATTGAGAAACCTATAGATTTTCAAATAATCCAGTATTTGAATCTTGATACAATTCGATGGTGGTTTTTTATATCACTTGCTGTCTTCAATTTCAGTTATCTCTTAATTGGTTTGACATCAGTATATATGACTCAAAGTATTAAAAGATGCACCAGTTTAGTAGTTTATAATCCAAAAATATATAAATAGAATCTCACAATAAGTAGAAACCTAATTCTCAAGTTAACACTATGATGTTCGAATTAGTGATACATCAGAGGAAAATAAATTTTCCCCGACGCATTTTTATCTGAAGAAATCAAAACTCATCACAAGATATTATGTTATGCGACTCAAATTCAGCGTCGCGGAGCATATTAGAGTTCCCGACGCATTATCATATATTTATGATCATATATATAGAGAAATCTCTCAGTAAAATCTTTTAGGAATCAGTGAAGAGTTTAAGTATATTAGAATAAAATAACTCTTCTCAATCGTCACAAGTATGAAGCTGTGATAGAACTCTAATATGAAGCTAGGTCAATGTATAATAAAATTAATATGCAATAGCATCAAAATTTCCATCTTCGACTTTAATTATTAGCCTTTCATTAGACGATGATGGAAGTGCAGTTAGTGAGCAAAAAAATGACACGACCATTTCCGTTTGAAGAATATTTTCTTTGTTGACATGTAATAATTAAGTAAAATATTTTTACGATTCAAATCATCAGGTTGGTCTGTATAATATCCGGCATTTTCGCTATTGTTAAGAGTCATAAGGCTATAACAAATTGTTGCTGCGATTTTCCACACCAACGAGAAGTATGCAAGCCTTTTGAGGGAGTTTGCGCAAATGATTTGTAGAGACCAAGAAATATGATACTGAACCAATGTGCAATAATAGTAATGCGTANTTTTAGGGTTGTTTATATGAGTTTCTAGATGTTTTGGTATTGTTTTACAAT